CTGGCACAGCACAGATGTACCATGACTGCAATGGATCAGCTCCAAGAATTACAATATTAGCTCTGCAGCACTGGCTCTCGATGGTATCACTGCAGGGAAATCCTTTCGGCAGCCGCTCACCTCGGCGCTAAATGGCCGGCCGCCCTTCTGCACCGCACTCTGCTACCAGCAGTTTGGTGTCGTTTGCCCAAACGCAGCTGCCCGCCCCGTGCCGGCCTTACAGCATGCCAGCATAAAACTGGGTAGATCATTCAGGGCGATCATCACTTGCATAAAAATATTAATGTGTATCTGTGAGGACTGGCTGATCTCGCCGCTCTCTGCAAAATTTAACCTTGGAACATTATGGAACATCTCCGTCTCGCAGGGCACTCAGAACAAACAACATCTGGAAGATAAAGTGCCTCTCGACAGACACTGCAGCCTGTGAGCAGAAAGCACCACTGAAAATAGTGAAAGCACTGTTCAGCTCTCAAAGACAACAATTGTAACAAAGATGAAGAGGTATTAGAGGAAAATAAACAGCAGACGCAGCACCTACCTAAAGAAATGCTACTGAAACACGAGAAATGAAGCAGCTCTTACGTAGATCAGTGCCAAGCAGAGCAGAGTATCATAGAGAATCTCTACAGGACACAGCAGCAACAATCTCTCATGAAAACCCCACAGACCCAGCTGCCGGTTTCCACATCTAAGTTTTATGAAACAGAATTATCCAAACACTTCTGTACAAACACCACGTCCAGAAAAATTGCCCTACACTTCTTGAACCTTGCCAAATTTGTGACCTCCACACAACATCAGGCATAACACTGAGAACAACACCATTCCTTTTTTTTTTTTTTTTGCACAGTCAAGATACTGGTATCCCATGTACAAGAAAAAAAAAAACAACCAAGCTTCCAACTTGTTTACCAATGAATTTCCTCAGTTGGTCGTGTAAATTGGATGCAGGACCCTAGACACGACCTAACAAAATACTATGGGAGATAACAACAAGGGCAGAGCCAGTGGTTACAACCCAGTCTTACCTTTCTTACTACTCTGGCACACGGCTGAGCACTGTCGCTCTGCCACGCACACCAGGACCTACACAAGACATCTCACCAGAGATTATTTAGCCCTGCAAAGTCACCAAGTCACCTTCTCCTTCACATGCCCAGAGATGTGTTCCAAAACTTGTTGCAAGATTTTCCCAGGCACCAACACACAGCTGAACCACCTGCACAGCCCTGGCTGTGCCTTTAGGGTCGGGGTTCTTTCGTTTTCTTTGAAGATGGTGCTCCCTACAGGGAACACTCTTTCACACCTTTATTTCACATAATTTAAGGCCAGAAGCCATGAAGTACTGCCTTAATGAATTTTATCTGCTACCATATTGACTATTTGGCCTTTAATCTACTAATTAGCACTCCTGTAACCAAGATAACACGAGCCTGTTTAACTCAATTACTACCCACACCAAATTACATGAAAACAGCAGTGTTAGCTGCCATTCTACCAGGAAAACTTGTGCCTATGCAATTTTCTTCAGTTAAAGATGGCCAACAGTTCATTGTCCTTTTGGTATAAAACAATCCTTTATTTCCTATACAGTTGAATTCTCTGCTATGAAAGCCACTCCCATTAATCAGCCTAAGGCACTGGATTAAGCAAGAAATGTTTTTTTTTTAAAGTCTGAATACGCAGGAAATCCACTTTTTTCTGCCAAAAGCCTATCAAGCATTCCAGCCTAGAAGTCACATGCAAGCTATCAAACGTTCTCAACTTGCTTATTAAATACATATAACATACACCACAAGAAAATCAGGTTTAAGACTATCCCAATTAAGCACTTAGAGTTCCTGCCCTTTGCAGTGACAGAAGCTGAGGAAGCGCTGCATGCTTTCATCTGCTCTGATTCACACTTCTCAGAACACTGCTTGCTCAGCACTGCATCCACTTCCTACGTACCTGGTGACTGCTCTTACAGGCCTTTCTCACAAAGATTCATTCACCCGTAACTACTGCCCCCACCACCCCCCATCCTAAATAAATTAATAATAAATAATCAAGCCTAAGCCTGAGATTCTAATTGTCCTGCTCTGTGAAAAACCTACGATTAAAGGACACATCACACTGCTTCTATAAACACAAGCAAGAAGAGACGTTATGCTGTTTTTCTATAAATCCACTACTAAGCACAAAAACAATCAAAAACCTGAGTACAAGTTTCCCCTCCATTCCTTCCACATTTATGTGTTGTCAGGTTTACATGAAACATTTCAAAAGACAAATGCAACTTTAAATACCTATTTTTAATTATTGTTTTCTTGATGTCTCGAAGACTCATCCCACTTTTATCATTAATAATGCTGGTGTGACACAGGCATTATCTCCTCAGTACAGGCAGCTTGTTGCACATATGAACTGCCCTTACACTAAATAAACACTGGCATGTCTCAACCCACAATAATTAACTACATTAATGTATTTATATAATTTGCTTCATCTTAAGGTTGCCTCTGCCTCAAGAAGTTTACTAACTAGTTTTCTAGCCAATATTTACTGATGCTCCCTCTCCCCAATTTTCACTCTTCCCTACAGATTATGCTGATACAATTATTTACAGACTATGTAGCACACACAGGACCATTCATATGATTCACTAAAACAAAACAAACACGACTCCAAACCCTCAAGGAAAAACCAGCAGCACAGCAGAAAGGAGGCTTGAGAGGCAGCAGAGAGCACAGACAGGGAATGCAGGAATCTGCTATTGCCATCGAAGCACACCGCTTACCAGCGCCTGGCCCCAGATGATTCATGAACTATTTTTACATTTCTCAAGGATTCCTCTTTGTTATTAAGTTAACATTTCAAGGTCTTATCTCTCAAAAAAGCAAAATTGGTAAGAGTCTTATTGATAAGCTTCTAAGAAATGTTTACAACTGCTACAGCAAAAACAACTCACGCAGATCCAAATATATATCATTGATAGGGTAATGACACATTCCTACATGAGGTATATGTAGAAGTTCTGTAAACAATGGTAATAAACATTCCTGCATGCAAATATTCTGGCATAATTTATGTTTTTGTTTATTCATTTAAAACACCACAGCATTTTAAGCAGCTTTTGTGATTCAAGATGAAGATCGCATTTACCATCACCCACCTTTTCCCAGGAGCACTTCATATTCTCTTTCATTGCATTTCCCATCCCCCTCACCTCCGTTCTCCCAAAATTCACCACTGTTGCCATGAACCAAACGGAATCCAAAACTCTGTGTTCTGCTTTATCAATTCTTCCTGCCTTTTGCAATGCTCCGACATGTAAAACGAACAGCAATACATCCCTGTGCATCATCTGAAACCCCACTCTTTATTTAGTTATCACTATGGCTACTGATCCAGATACTCATTTGCGCAATTTTCATCAAGATTCCCCCATCAACTTCTCACATGATGGTATTTCAAGAGCTATCACATGTTGCCATCTTATTTACTACTACCGAGTTGCTATTTTAGATCAGCTAAAGATAAAGGGAATAAGCATATCATTTTTGACATGTGTTAGAGGAGCCAAAGCAAACTAAAAATTTAAGAAGATCACTAAACAACATCTAGGTCTCTTTTGAGCTCTTCTGTGAGTTAGCAGGTTTGCTCAACACTCCATGTTTTCTCAAATTAAACCACCTTTAATATACCTGGAGTAATTATAGCCATCACAGGGCACATGAGGGTCTTAAAATGCTTATAAATCAATAGAAAGCTGTATGTACAATACTTTCAAATTTAAAACCAGTACAATAAAGTAAAACCTTTTACTCTGAGTCAAAAAATGGTTAGAAACTAAGCTTACACTAAAAATAGCTATATTTCACACACCTAAGTTCTTAAGAGTTCTTAAGAATGCATATCATAAACACTATAGAGCCAAAACAATATTTTTAATGAATCACAGATAGCAGTTCACACAATTACATGTGAGTAACTTGAAAGCCATGCCATAACCCAGCCTCAAGAAATTAAACGCTTGTCTTGTCCCATCATGCCCAGGTGTTGCATAACAGGGGATAGCTAACAATGGAAGGTTTAAGAACTTTGTTCTACTGCTCTTCATGCTGTGTCACACTACTAAAAAACACAGCATTAATTACTGGCTTCATTATTCCTAAAATCAAGAGCTACCCTGACCACATTTCACAGAAGGGCAATGCAGGGAAGCTAAAAAAGGAGCTAATTCGTAGCAGGTGGAGTTTCAGGCTGTAACATCAACACATTTGGAAGAAAATAACAGTGCTGAGCAACTGAAATCTGCACTTCGTCCTCTTCTTGCTGAAATTTAAAATTAACTTCACAGTTATTAAGTAAAATGGCTTTACTTGTCCCAGTTCATACCCTAGTGGACAAAGCACGCACTACAGAGCCCGTGTATTTCACATAACAACACAGCTACTGCCCTTCTGAGGCAAACGGTGGCAGGTTAATACAACACTGAATGTATTTTAATACCATTTCCACTAGCAATGAGAAAATACCTTGTATGCCTCTGCTACATCCCCACTATCTACCGGATCCAAACAAGACAAGCTATATATGATTTCAAGAATGTAGGAAGAGTGCCACACAAACCCAGCATGCTTTTAAACCTGCTTTCTGATAGCTCCTCACAATGGGCTTTATTTATATGCTCAGACAATCATTTCTCTATATTTGAAAAAAAAAAAAAATATTGCACCACATCATTCACACAAGTCTGCGCTTTCAGATTTGTAATTACCTCAAAATCACTCCAGTTATCATTACTGCTAGCGTTAAGTACCTTTAAGAACAAGCTGAGTTTCTGCTTGGTAAGAAATTATCAACTTATTAGATAATTAATCACTAGCTACAACACAATCCTTCCACACACAGCCATATTTACTGCAGTGAAATGAAAGCGATCTGCAACATCTGGGGACTTGTTAAAATAAATAAGTTTACTATTTTTAAATAAAGCAAGCAAAACATCTTACCTTGCCTGTCTTGTGATCAAACCAGACAAGTGCATGGTTCCTGGACAGCACCTTACAGTCAAAAGTCGCATTATTCTGAGCTGGCCGGCAGCGAGCCACAGAGCGGCCGATCTTGACGGGCTCATCCAGGTAGACATGACGCTCCTGAAACGGATGGGAGTTGGGGCGGCAGGTGAAGATGGCCAAGGCTGAAGGCATCGAGGACAGATTGGAGTTGCCACACGAACCAGAGACGAAGAGAACCTCTTCTGATGCAGATGCAGATCGTCCTCCACAATTTTTAAGCCAAACCTCCACAGCAAGTTTACATTAAAGCACGACAAACATTATCGCATACAAGAGGCCTAACAACTCATTGTTTCAGTGTGTAAACTAATTCTGGCAATAATCCAGTGAAAAAGCCCCATTATGTCTCTTAACAACATCAGCGGTGGCCCAGAAAATGTCTAAAACGTACCACTTTCAATCCATCCTCCTCTGGAAGAACAGGAACAAGCATCTGATTTCTTCAGAGAGAAGGAAAGGCTCCTCGACAGAAGGAGAGAACGTCTTAAATCCAGGCGGATGAGTCATACAAATACTTTTGTTTGGGACCTCAACTGCCTCCCTTGTTTTCCCCCTTCCGTAAACAACGCTGACCACCGCACCATGGAAGCAAGGAGAGGTTTATGGAAGGGGGAAAAGGAACGGCGTCCTCCCTCAGAGCGCAGTGAGCAGGAAGACGGCCGCAGAGCCCGCACTCCGCAGCGGGGACCGGGTCGCGTCACAGGGCAGTCCGCATCTCACCATCTTCGCGCATTAAAGCGGACGGGCGCTCCTCGGGCCGGGCTACCGGAGAAACACCGCTTTCCTCCCCGACCGCAGATAAAGCCCAAGCGCCCTACGGCCCCGCGTGGCCGCTCGGAGCTCGCCGAGGCACGGAGAAGCTCGCGTCTCCTCTCTCAGGGCCAGGCCGGCGGGCGGCTCGCTGGGCCCCGGGCGCGCCGTCAGCTCGCTGCGTCTCCGGGTCGCCGCCGGCGGGTAGGGGTCGCAGGGCAGCTCCGAGAAGCGCCTCCGAAGCCACCGGCGCGGGGAGCGGCGCTCCGGGCGGGGAGTCGGGGGGGGGGGGGGTGGACGCGCGGCTCCGCTCAGCCCCTCCGCAGGTGGCCGCTCACGGGGGGCCGCACAGAGCCTCCTCCGCCCGCCGAGCGCGGCTCCTTCGGGCCCGGCGCTGTGAGAGGGCCCGGCGGCCGGGCCCGCTCGGTAGCTCTGCCTCTCAAGCAGCCGCCGACCGCGAAAACTTTCCTCCGACCTGCGGAGCCGAAAACAAGCCGGGTCAGACGCGTTCCCCGCCCGGCGCGGCCCCGCGCACCTCCCCCCGGCCCGGCGGCGCCCGGCCCCGAAGGAGCCGCGGGGCGCGGCGAAGCCCCGCTCCCTCCCTTACCTTCGGCGCAGCGGCCGCCATAGTGACTGGAAACCTACCCGGCGTAACAGCCGCGGCGCTGCCGGGGAGGGGCGGGGGTCGGAGGGCGGAGCCGTCCTCAGCGGGGCCCCGATCATAGGGAAGGCGCGGCGGCCGCCCCCAGCCGCGGAGCGGGATTCTGCGCAGCCGCGAACCCGCTTCCCGCACCTGCGCGCTGCGCCGCGCGAAGCCGTGGCCGGGGCGGAAGCCCGCCTTTCGGGTGCGCGGCGTGGGGCTCTGAGGGCGGGCGGCGGGGCGAGGGTTCGGGCGGGCCGCCGCGAAGGGGAGGAGAAGGAGGGGCGGCCACGAAAGGGCGCGGCCGGGGCTGCCTGCAGGTGGGAGGCGGGTCTGCGAGGGGAGCGGGGCCCCGGCGGGCGCCGTCTCTCGGCGCGCTGCTCGGCTCCGCCCGCTCTCCTCTGCTTGGCGCCTGCGGCGGCGCCCGCCGTTCTCTCAAGGTCACGCGGTGGCCGGCGCGGAACGGGGCTCTCCGGTCCCGATTCGTTCATGAGTCAGTCTGTATAAAGCAAACGAGCGGAGATTGTTTGATACGAGAGACGTGGTGGAGCTGCGCCAGAGCTGTAATTACCTCGTGCCGAGGGGTTGGGATCAGGGGGAGGTGTTCCGTGGGGCCCGGCAGCCCTGGGATGCAGAAGTGGCGCCGGGCCAGGCAGGGCAGCCAGCAGTGTGAGAAATGGGCAGCGCTCGAGGTAAGGCTGCAAAGTGCATCAGAAGGAATGGTTACAGGAAGATCTCAGGGTCTTCTTCATTTTTTTCTTCCTCTTTTTTCGTTCTGTTTGTTGTCGGGGGGAAGCTTGATGCGTTGCAGCCTTGTTCTCTGTTCTTCCAATGATACAAAGGAGAAAAAAAAAAAAAAAAGTGAAACCAGGCCATAACGTCTGAATTTGAAACAAGGAAATGAAATCCAAGAGGAGAGATAAGTCTGATATCTGAGGATAAAAGCAGACCAATACATGGAAACTTTGGAACTGTTGATTAGTAATTTTCAGCTCTATTCATGGAAGCAAAGCCAGCTATTGCTTCATAGCTTTCATGAGTCTTCTAGTCTGTAAAAGGTTACAGCTGTGACAACTGTGTTTCTAATTTACTCGTTTTTAGAACGAGTGGCATTTTGGTACATCTCTTGTTTGTAGCATGCGGGGTGCCGTAGTTTATCAAAAGGAGAAAAGGAGCATAAAAGGAGGATGGGAAAGCAGAGAAATGAAGTCCATCAGGAGTTACACCCAAGGGAAAGAGCAGAAGTAGAAATAATTGATAATATTTGGAATTGGAAAAGGATAAAAAGCAGCAGCAACAAATGCTACTGTAGGTGTTGGAATGAAAATAATGTTTTTGAGAGTGTGGCTTGTGTTTTTATATGTCTGTTTAATGGAGAAAGGAATTGAAAGTCAAATTCAAGATGGAGAAGAAGCATTAGAATCTAGGGAGAGTAAGAATGAAAAGAGCTGAGTCGCAGTAAAGGTAAACAGCTGAGCAGTGGATGCATTTAACTAACATTCTCTCTAAGTATTTATATTTTTGCAGGTCCGATTATTGAGAAGCAAATGTGTTTCACACTGCATTATCTGTACAGTATCTTAAGGTCTTTTGTGACCAGTTGAATAAAAGAGTATCCTAAGTTTACATGTCCTTTAAACTCTAAGACCCTGTCACATATATTATGATATCCTGAACTTCTTCAGTCCCTCAGAGAGATCCCATTATGACGACCCCAGGGGGCATCCAATGGCACATGCCAACTGCTCAGTGCCTTTGGTGCTGCCAGGTGCCTCAGTGAACAGCAGAGTTCTGCCTGTTTTCATCAGGGGCCCTAACCTGAGCCCTCCTCTGCATGACTGACGGCTCCCAGGGAAGTTGGATGGATATAGATCTCTTTCAGACTCTTGTACTGCTATTTCAAATTGTCTAATGAGCTCAGAACTTAGGTACAGGCTCATACATAAGTTAAAGTACAAAGATGGTTTCATTCTGGATTGAAGATACGAACTGTCACTTGGGTGTTTTATGAAGTCTTTGATGCTTATCAGGTACTGCCCATCTTTGAACTGTGGAAGGGAACAGGTGGATGAAAACAGTTAAGTACCAAGTGCTCATGCACTGCACTCTGCAGGAGTAAGGAAGACCTGTAAGCATGTGCTTCTCTTCTGCAAACCAGTGTTTGGCGTAAAATGCAGAGGGGCAGTAGCTGTGGCGGCCATGTTAGGTAAGGGCAGCAAGATGCCGCTTGGTTAATGGGCAGGAAGTCCATGAAATGTAATGATAGCCATCGTAACTGAGGGCAGAACAGCCTGCTCTATAGCCATCTTGGATAAGGGAAATGGAAGGGAGGTGACTTGTATTTGTCCCCAAAAGAACTGGTGTTTGTTTCAGAAACGTGAGTTTGAACTTCTGCACACACCTGCCAAACATCTGGATTTTGGATTGAGTGTATGAGCTTGAAGGAAAAATCCTTTAGTTCTGATGACTTACTGAAAAATAAGATCTTCTGTTGAAGGGTGCTTGCTCAGAGTTCTGAATTAACTGTGACTCCTAAAGGAGGAGAACAGTGAGCATCATTATGGACAACTCCGTTCATATTTCTGAATATCGTGTAATGGTGATCTAGAGGGCTACCAAAACATTGTTAGGTTACAGTTCTTATTGAGGTGTTGTTGTGAAATAATTGCTTGGTGGGAAGTCTTGACTCAAGATAAGCTGTTAGGTGTGGAAGGAATGAGGTGTGCTGTGTGAAAGAAGTTCCGTTTGCAGTGTAAACAGTAAGATGCAAATTGAAAATGAAAGCACAATTTAAAAAAAAGTTGAAGGTGTGCAGTTTTCTATTGAATTTCTCATCCCTGGAACATCAGCAGTTTACTAAATTGGTTTTTCATTGATTTCCAGGAGCACAACAAATTGTGTGGGTAATTGCACTATCTGCAGCCGTACCAATCTTTAAAACATGACTGTCTATAAAGGCATTTACTGTCATGTAGGGCAAAATGGGAACATAAAGCAAAGTTTGGACTTGTATCCACATCCCAATGTGACGCATTTTGCCAAGGAAGCTTCCTCAGAAGCAGCAGAATTAAGCAGAACTGTAAAAAAGTGACAAATCGTTTCAGAGCAGTAGATTCTTGTGAATGTGTCGGTTTGGATGGTAACAGGCTATGGTGCCAAAGTTCATAGCAATCACTTCTTGTCCGCTAGAGGGCTGGGGGAAGACAGGCTGGCTCACACTCAGTTTGCTGATCTGTAGTTGCTTTTTAGGTGCAGTGACTGAAAATACATTATTCTTGAATGGGACAAGTGGTCTCACAAAATAAGTTGAACAAGGAATGGTGATAATGCTGTGACAACGTGGTGATTCTCTGGGCAGTTTGTTAAAATATACTGCTTGTGGTTCTCAATAAAGTGTACAATATTCTGAGTGTGCATGATAGCGAGCATCTTTGGACAGCCGCAGCACTGAATGGCGTCGTTTCAGCACATCAGTACAGCAATAATCCTATTGGAATTTTCAGCTGTGTGTTGTTTGTAGGAGCTGCTGAATGCGTATGTGTGCTTTCTGCAAATGTTTCCTCTAGCAGTGTATTTCTGTTATTGCATGAGAAGTAAATGGAGCAAGAATGACCTCTCTCAATGATCTGTACTGGAAAATAACAACAGGTATTAGCTAATAGCTTACTTGCTATTTCGTGATTGTGTTAATAAAGAGCCAAATTATCCTAAATAAAGACCTTTGGAAAAACAAAGCCTGGGATATATCTAAGAGCTAATTTACCTTTTAGTTTTGCCTGCGAACTTTGCTGCTCAGTGTTTGAAGCGCTGTGTGTGAACAGCTTTTGTCAAAGATTCGGGGTGGTCACACTGCTGTGTGAGTGAAAAGAATCTGACTGCTGATCTTTGCTTCCAGCTGCAGTGGTCACAGAATAGTTGTATAAGTTTACGAGGCTCCTCCTTCAGTCTCTGCAACTGCTGTTCAAAAGCATATCTTACAGTATATAACATCAATAATGCTATCAATAAAGCTATTGGTAACATAGGTTGTTTGAAAAATAAGAAAAAAATGTTATAAACAAACTGCTATTTCTTTGTATGTAAGTGCATTTTATTAGGCCTTGTTTTCCAGTACAAATTAAGTATGGCTTTAAATTACGATCTGAAGGCAGGGGGGGCGGTGAGGTGATGGGGAGATGTTTATCCAGTTCTTTGGGGCTGTTCAGTGGAAAGGCACAGTCTGCTCAGTCACTGCCTGCTGAAGCTGATGGGAATTGGGCAACCAGCACAGCCTGTGCTGCTATGTGATGGAAAGCATCCTGCTGGGAGATGGGATAGAGCAGTAGAGACAGCAGTCGTAGTTGAAAAAGGATGGGAGAAAGCAAGATAAACTCAAATGCTGAATGGCTTGGACTTGTCCTGCTTAGGTCTATACTCGTTTTTATTCAAGGAACTGTTGTGACAAAGTGTGCTTTTTCTAGAAGATAATCTCATCCAAACCCTGCAGAATGAAAAGATGACTGCATAACTAAGACAGGCTTCAGAGAGCTTTGTAAGCAAACCAATAGCAGAGCTGTACAGGTGTAAGTGCAACTTGTAGCAAAGCATTCTCTGTTGATTGATTTCCAGCTTTGAAGTTTGTCCTGTGCTGATCTGACCCAGTAGAAGTTTCCTGATAGAGACAAGAGTCCCAGTTGTTCTGAACATGACAATACTTACAATGCTTGCAGGAATATTTTAATTCTTGGACAACTGACATTCATTCTCAACCAACAAAGATAACCACATTTTACCAAAGCAAAAAGGTATCTGAATTGTCTGGGCAAAACTCAGTGTGAACTGATGGAGTACGTAGGGATCAGGGGAGTCTCGGGGAGGTGAGAATGCTTCTTCCTCAAAGATTGTCACTGTTCTCCAAACCTTTTCCTGCCAAAAGGTTACTCCTGGTAAGCATCCAGTGCAGGTAAGTTACTGACTGACATTGAACAAAATGAGCAGGGAACATCAGTCAGAGAAATACTTTATTCTCTTCAGTTTGTGTGTCTACAATTACATATATCTAAGGGAATACTTTTTTTTTTTTTTTTTTCCCCACATGTGGAAACATAAAAATAGAGGAGACTAAATAATAACATATATATAATAATAACTGCTGTTATTTTGTTGCAGCAGTGATAGCAAGAATACAAGCCAGGGAAGAAGGTGTGTAAGAAGCCATGAATAGTATCTTTTCTTAAACTAAGTGACAAGAGCTCTTAGCCAGGCCCTGTTTCAGCTCCTACATGGGACCAGTACATTAAGTACTGCGATAGAATCACTGCCACAACTTTGACTTGATGAACCCAAGCCTCAGTCTTGTGTTATTCTGCATAGCAGCCTTTTACAGAACCTGGGAGTGAGCAAACCTGTAACAGTTACTGAGTTTGAAATGGCAGGAAGGAACGAGCTGAAGCAGCTGCAGAGCCTTCCTGCACAGCCACTAACGCTGCCGTATCTTACTGTGGATCTGCAG